TAACAATTCTGACTTCAACTGTATGTGTGTACATTTATTATGTATTTTTAAATACACACATGCATGCATACATTTGAGAAAATGTTTTTTTTATTTAGATTATATATATATATATATATGAATGACACAAATCATATATACATTTAAACATCTATGCAAAAAAAAGAGTAGATCCGTCCCATTACATTGGGAAAACAGGCGACCGCTGCAAATTGCGCTTTAATGTTTGGCTGGTCAACTGTATGGTATGGAAACCTTATATACCTGCTAGATGAACTCGTCTCATACAGCTGCCATTGCAAGGCTCAAAGGCACTTTGTAGAGTGCAATTTAACACAACTGCCTCTAGGAGTCGCCAATGGAAATAAAACAGACACGCACAAAAAATGTGCATACGCCAGCCATGAAGCTGGCATGGAGCTGCGCACATTCCCACGTTCATTTCATCATTAGTAAATCCAAACGTGAGCGATTCTGAGCGTGAAACCTGGTGTACGCAAAGTTTTTGTGCGTACGCAGCGTTTATACATGAGGCCCCAGATGCGCTGCGCACATGACAGCTGGAAGTAACACACATCGGATGCACACATTGGCATGTTATTAAAATGAAATGATTCAGATGGCGCTCTGTGGCGCGGCATAAATATGAACAGTGTCCTGAGTCATAGCTGGGCACCACAGACAGCCGCTGACTTGAGGCGCTGGTGTGTGTACCCTGATATAAACCTATGCTAACAATTCTCAAATGCATGGCACTGTGTGGTGTGTCGTATCCTGTGTACGACCCCCTTTACTATGGTCTTGCTAGCGATCGAAGGTTTATTTTAATTTGGCAAGCTGAACACATTCTGTACTGTAGCAGAGACACAGAGGAGATTGACTGACGATGATCTACAGCCAATCAGGAAACAGAACCCAATGTGCTGTAAAAAAAAACATTGTGAAATTGCAAAAAAAAAAAAAAAAAATTTAACTGCGAGGCTGCGAAAGGTGAACTGTATTATAGCGAGGGACCATTGTAAGTACTTTAGTATTATTCAGAAACACTAGTATTTTTTTTTCATATGTTCTTCAATGCTCTACTGAAGAAAAACTAACTCACCACATCTTGCATGGCCTTAGGATGAGTAAATCAACAGTATAAATCGTCAGTTTTGAGGGAACTGCCCCTTTAAATGTCATTCTAGGTCCTGACTCAGCATGCATTACCATTAGCAAACACTAGAGGTGTTTACCTGTGACGTTAATAGGGACGATGCATGAGTTGATGACTTGAGAGTCGGTCTTCATTTTCTCTTCTGGGGTCGGTAATGGTAAGAGTCCTGCCCAGTTGGTCTGTTTGTCCAGCGTTGAGGGCACGTTTGGGATCGGGCACTTCGGCCAGTGGCCTAAAGCCACCAGCTCTGAGTCTGAATCACCTGGAGGAGTAACCTGGAGAAATAATTACAGTAATGAACACTGAATACACTGAAATAGGTGTTAATCTTTTATATTATGGGTTTGAAAGTTCTGATTAGAAGGTTTTATAAGAAAAGCAAGCAATGTACAAGAAAATACTATAAGCTACGCTGTGAAAAAAAGATTTGTTAATTAACATTTAGCATATTTTGTGTTTTTTAAGGGCGCACTCACACTTGGCTATCCGAACCGTGCCCAGGCCCGTTTCCCAGATCTTTTAAGAAGTGTGAGTGCTCTGAATCGGGTTCAGGCACGCTACAGTTGGCCGGCACTGGCCTGGTTGGAAGAGGTGTGCAGAAGCGCGATTCGCTTGGACTTTGGCGCGGTACGCTTGTAGTGTGAGTGCAAAGTCACACTCAATGTTGTCACAAAGTTCATGCACACATATCGCGTGCGTTTAACTTTGCACTGTTTTTGCCCGCCAAATGTGACAGGATACACAATAATATCCACTGCTGTGTGGATATCCGTTATGTTAATGTAAATAGCCCGCGGGCTGACAGTTTGAGACCCCTGCTTTACTGCATCGTTAATAACTGCTGATTTGAGGTTATTGTGTGAGTTAAATACATACGTTCCTGTATTTCAATCATTTTCTTGTCGGCTTAGTCCCTTTATTAATCCGGGGTCGCCACAGCAGAATGAACCGCCAACTTATCCAGCAAGTTTTTACGCAGCGGATGCCCTTCCAGCCGCAACCCATCTCTGGGAAACATCCACACACACATTCACACACACACTCATACACTACGGACAATTTAGCCTACCCAATTCACCTGTACCGCATGTCTTTGGACTGTGGGGGAAACCGGAGCACCCGGAGGAAACCCACGCGAAGGCAGGGAGAACATGCAAACTCCACACAGAAACGACTTGTCCAAATCAACTCCAGACGCACATGAATTTTGTCACCCTGATTGAATAGGCTTTTAAACTTTTTATGAACTGATTTTTTTTGGAGCACAATTACATTTTTAATGATATAATCAATGCACATGCATAAAGAAGCGATAGGGAAGCATGCAAAGACAATAAATCAGTGTAAAACAGCTTCAGAAAAGTACTACAACAGCTTTATCTAGCACACATGAAGCACACAGCATAACACTTCAATGCAATACAGCTCAATTTCCATATTTCATTTGCCATCCAATGCACTTGGCTAAATCCTGATTGTAAAAGCTCAAACTTACCTCGTGGAAATGACTGAAGAGTGTGTTAACTAAAGAGTGTTTAGTGTCTGTCATAAGAGCGTGCGCAGTGTTAAGGAGAGCTGTTTTATTGAGTCTTTGTGTGTCTTTTTTTCTGAGCCGCCCAATGAGGATCTCACAATAAACAGCAGGCAAAAAAAAAAGTGTTACCACAGAAACTTCTCCCAAAACCAAGAGAAGGAGGGGGGAAAAAAAGGTGGAGAAATCAAAGAGCGTTTATGAGCGTTTTGTTTTGCCGGCGTGGAGGTGAAGGGCAAGAGGTGAAGTAGAGTTTTTGGAAAACATGGGATCAAAGGAGACGAGGAGAAAAAGAAGGAAAAATGCAGCTGAAATGAGCAGGAGAAGTGGGAAAATCAGGGGCTGGAACGGAGCCAAATGTTACGGTTTGATTTCTCCTTCTGGCTCCGGTTCAAAAGCTATTTTCGATTAGAGAAGAAACAGGGAATGAAAGAATGCCATTCATGAAGCTCAAGAGCGGAGATAGAGAAAGGCAGAGAAAGACGGAGAGTAAAGCAGCAAGACGAAACTGAGAAAATGAAAGTTATCATGTTTACAGTCCAGATTTTTTCCCTTTGGCAACATTACTTAATAGTAAGCAATTAATAATCTACAATGATTTCTGAAGGATCATCAGACACTGAAGACTGCAGTAATGATGGCAACATAAAGTTGAAGACAAACTTAGAAATCAGCTCTTAAAAAAATTAGTATTTAAAAAAATCTGCTCTACTTTAAACAGTACTTGGGAAATATTCCCAACTATAAGTATTATAGTTTCACAGGAGGAGTAATAACTTTATCTTCAACTAAATATTTTAAATTAGAGTACTTTAAATTACATACAGCCATGGTGAGCATAAGAGCCTCTGTTAAAAAGTAAACATTTTATTAATTAACGCAAAAGTTTGGCAAGATGTTAAATAAATAAACTAAATATATTTAAATAAATAAATAAACTAAAAATACATAAAAAGTAATAATAAAAAATTATTTATAAACAAATAAACAAAAAATAAATAAATAAATTTTGAATAAATAAATTGTAAATAAATAAAAACAAAATAAGTAAAAAAACAAAAAAATAAATAAACAAATAAATTCAAAATAAATTAATTACAAATAAACAAAAAATACATAAAAAACAAATAAATTAAAATTAAATAAATAATAAATAAACTAAAATAAATAAATAAACTAAAATAAATCAATTAGCTATAAATAAATAAATACATTCTAAATAAATAAAAAACAAAATAAATAAATAAACTAAAAATAAATGAAAAAATAAATGAACTAAATAAATAAAAATAAATAAAAAACAAATAAATAAATTAAATTATATAAATAATAAATAAACTAAAAATAATAAATGAATAAATAAATAAATGAATAAATAAATAAAACTAAATAAACAAAAAACAAATGAATAAACAAAAAATAAATAAATAAATAATAAATAAACAAAAAATAACTGAAAAAGTAAATAAACCATTTTTTTTTTTTTTGCTCTCTTTTTTATTGTGATGCTTAATGTGAGAATTTTCCCAGTTTTATTTTACTATCACTGAGTAACAAATGGGCGAAGCAGTGGCGCAGTAGGTAGTGCTGTCGCCTCACAGCAAGAAGGTCGCTGGGTTGCTGGTTCAAGCCTTGACTCCGTTGGCGTTTCAGTGTGGAGTTTACATGTTCTCCCTGTGTTCGCATGGGTTTCCTCCGGGTGCTCCGGTTTTCCTCACAGTCCAAAAACATGCGGTACAGGTGAATTGGGTAGGCTAAATTGTCCATAGTGTATGAACATGTGTGTGAATGTGTGTGTGGATGTTTCCCAGAGATGGGTTGTGGCTGGAAGGGCATCCGCTTCGTAAAAACTTGCTGGATAAGTTGGCAGTTCATTCCACTGTGGCGACCCCAAATTAATAAAGGGACTAAGCTGACAAGAAAATGAATCAATGAATGAATGAACCTGGGGGCGGCACTGTTCTTTTTTAACAATGTAAAATTTAACATTTCATCTCAATGTTGGCGACGCGGTGGTGCAGTGGGTAGCACAAATGAATATAAAAAATGAATGAATTAATTAATATAATAACCCTGATCCAACTAAATACAATTTCTGGAGTAAAAACCAAGCCTTCAGCATAAAACCTCTCATGCTGTTATTGATTGCATCGAATACAGTGCAACGTTACTAGACTCTAATCAAACTAGAGAGGTTATAGTTATATATATATATATATATATATATATATATATATATATATATATATATATATATATATATATATATATATATATATAGACTACTTTTTAACTTGTATTAATTCTGTACCCTTAGAATGTACCGAAAGAGCCGTATAAGAACTGCAACATGAAGAGGAGTTTTCAAAAGGAGACTCACTCTCTAAAGTGTCTGTCTTGAGTCATGCTCTCCGACAGGGGTTTGTGGGTAAAGCCAAAGTGCCGGTAGTTGATGGGCAATTATATTTTTCTGCCGCAGATACACACACACACACACACACACACACACACACACACACGCACACACGCACGCAGTCAGACAGCGGCTCTGCCATGAAAACCTGTCATTAGGAAACCTCAGACTAGCGCATTTCCTTCTCTCTCTCTCTTTGTGTGTGTGTGTGTGTGTGTGTGTGTGTTTCTCAGTCCTCACATACAGTTTCAGGAGATAGAAAGGCTTTAACTTAATTTACATTATTAGTTTGGATACAACAGAAATTATCTGCAAGCCTTCTCACTGAAAATGATTAAGTTTGGCCTAATACTTAAGGATAAAAGAATAAAAATATATCTTATACAAAGAATGAATTAATTCATTTTCTTTTTGGCTTAGTCCCTTTATTAATCAGGGGTCGCCACAGCAGAATGAACCGCCAACTTGTCCAGCACATGTTTTACACATTGGATGCCCTTCCAGCCGCAACCCATCACTGGAAAAATCCATACACACTCACTGACAATCATACACTACAGACAATTTTTGCATACCCAATTCACCTATTCACCAACTGACCCAGCCGAGGTTCGAACCAGCGACGTTCTTGCTGAGAGGGTGAACGTGCTACCTACTGCGCCACCGCATCATCTTTATAATGAATAATTTGTTGTTATTATTAAAATGTTATATTCATAAACGCAATTTTTTCAAAATTCCCCCAAGACTAGTGGTGTTCAAAGAAGAATTTGTGATGTATTTGAAGACATTAAGAGAGATGAAAAGCTAAAAAGCAAGAAATTTATATTTATCATTAAAATATTTTGGTTTCATATTTTAAAAACTTCAACTCGCCTGCTTCATATTTTTCTCAACGTAGTATCACAGCAGTTCGTAACTTTTTGATTTAGTGGCTAATTCTAATGAATTCTAACAATCTAATTCGTACGATTTAGTACTATGTGCACATCATCAAACATTGGTTGGGTTTAGGGGCGGGGTTTGGTGCCACTCCCCCTTTTTTAAATCATACATTTTCATACGACTGAACACGTATGAATTCGTCTGTTACTGTTCAAGCAGTTAATTAAAAAAAAACAAATTTAATTTAGATTTTATTTGATGACCCTATTGTGCTTTTTATAACGCTCTGATGTAAATCTTTATTTTAATAAGTGTCTCTTTAAATGCAAATGAGCTGCTGACCCCACCCCCTTTTTCTGCAAAAGAGGGCGGGGCCTTTACAGCATGTGCTTTGACTTTCCTATGTAAATATATTTTAAAATTCATCCATTCATGCGTTTTCCTTCATCCTAATCCATTATTTATCAGGAGTCGCCACAGTAGAATGAACCGCCAACTATTCCAGCATATGTACTATGATCTTTTATGTTCTTTTTATGAAGCTGCTTTGACACAATCTACATTGTAAAAGTACTGGGAAACTACCATACACTCTCACATTCACACACACACTCATACAGAACGGCCGATTTCGTTTCCCCTATTCACCTTTTGACCTTATTCTAAAATGCGGAAGTGCGCCTGTTTTCGCGATTGTCTTAGAACTTCCGTTTCAGTCGCCTATGGGAGAAATGACAAGGAATAATAAACGGCAAAAAACGGTCAAACTACTTGCTCTATAAACAAATGTTTGCATGACTATACAGACCAAGTAGAATAATATAACAAGGAAATATCAGTTTGCAACATCAAACCGCGAAACGAGCAGTTTTTAATGTCTAAAAATAAATGGAAGTGAATGAGACCGGAAGTCTCGTGCCAAAAAGAATCAAATGGCAGCTCCTGCTCGTCTGCGGAGAATAAGGTCAATAGCGCATGTGTTTGGACTGTAGGGGGAAACCGGAGCATCCGGAGGAAACCCACACCAACACGGGGAGAACATGCAAACTCCATGCAAACGCCAACTGACCCAGCCGGGACTCAAACCAGCCACCTTCTTGGTGGTGACAGTGCTAACCAAATGATCCTTTAGAAATCAATCTGAGGATTTAGATGCTTAACCACATTTCTTACTATCAATTGTTGTTGCTGGATCATAATATTTTGTGAAAACTGTACTTGAGTATTCTTTGACGAGCAAAAAGTTCAATAAAATTATCATTATTTACAGTATTTATATATATTTTTAAATATTATACACATCGTTACTGTCACTCCTGTTCAATGTAATCCATCCTTACTAAATAAAACTATTAATTTCTTAATTAAAACTGTTGGTCACACTTTACTTTAATGTACAGTTCACGCTATTAACAAACAATTAAGTGAGACTTTCAACTCAGTAAACTACTAATTAGTTGCTTAATAATAGTTATTAAGGTATTAGTTGGGTTTAGGTCTTGGCTAGGATTAGGCATGTACAATAGGATCATACTTTATAAGTGCTAATAAACAGTTCATATCTTAATAATAGGCAGGCAATGTGCCTGTAGTAAATAGTGTTAAATCTTACTTCAACTAAAGTGTTACCAAACCTTTTAATGCCTGTTCTCCTAAAGGTCAAAAATGCCTTAAAAGTTCAGTTTTACACACATTTTTAACAATTGCACACACATGCACAGATTATATTTTTAACAAACAGCTGAAGTCAAATTTATTAGCCCACCAGTAAAATATTAACTATTCAAATATTGTGCTGTTTAACAGATTTTCAACATATAGTTTTCTTATAAATAATTAGTTGTCTTTGCAATTGTCACGATCACCAGCGACCTCTAACCACCAGAAAAAAGACACAAAAAAGTCATAACAACAAATGTTACTTATTTTAATCAGTTAATCAGGTTTCAACTTAATAGTTTTTAGCTATATGAAGTTTAACTTAACATTTTTAGTCCGTTTGATAGATGTTGAGTTGAAATGACTAGAGAAGTTTAACTGAAAAATTGTAGGTTGCTTGATTAAAATTTTTTACAGTGTGCTTTTATTCCAGCCAAACTAAAAGAAATAAGACTTTCTCCAGAAGAAAAAATAATAGGAATTACTATTAAAAAACGTCTGTACTCTGTTAAACATCATTGGGAAATATTTAAAAAAATAATTAACTGTACTGCAGAAATTAGAGAAATAAAGATGTTAGTAAAACACACACAAAAAAGAGAGCCCTGTTAAGATTTGGTTTTCATCCTCAACCTAACAATACCTGATCAAACATTTATATTAGAAACTGACATGCCATGAAATGTCCATCAAACCAAATCTTAGTTAGTTGTTGATTATCTGGCATAGAAGCAGTTTTGGTTTGGTCGCCATCGTTATGATTTGACATTGATGTAAAACTGTTTCCAGATCAGAATGGAAGGATTCAGGAGACGTTTATATACCTTTCTGCTCCATGGGGAAAAATGACAACACTCAGTAGGGGAGGAGGACCGGGTGCTTTGAAACTACAACAAACACAAACACAAAGACATGAATATGAGGATGAACATGAACACAGATATGAACACAACGGCTGGGCTTCCATCAACATGCAAACACATTCTCACGACCAACATATTGACGCTCGGTAATTCGAGAGGGGGGTCTGGATGCAGACTTGGTGTAGTTGCAATCTGAGCTGCATGCAATGCTTTTTAATGGGTTTATCTAACCCCACCCCTCACAGTGGCTTAACTGGCTCCACTGATTGCATCGTTTCTGAAATTGCATATCCGAGATATGCAGTCTCTGCTTGCACGGTCAAGGCTTCATTTTATGAAGCACTGACTCATCTGATGATTTTGGTTATTCTCATTATGCGTCTCATTCAACAGTTCGAGTGTATTTGTAAAATACTAGTTATTTTAAAAATATGCATACTTTCAAAAATAATTTGAAGCATCTCTCCCACGCATAACGCCCCATTCACACGGGGCTTCAGCATCAACGGTTGAGAAAGGGCGTGTCTGAAGTTGGGGCTGACACAATTGTCATAGCAGCATCAGCCAATGAAATTAGTCAGCAATAGGCCACTGTCTGAGCTAGTGTATTTGCTTACAGCAATCTGATTGGCTGACGCTTCTGTCGCCGCTTGAAAAGTTAAACAAATCCCAACTTCTGCAGCGAGCAACGCCTCTGAAGCGGCGCCGATCAGAATCAAAAATAATAATTTTTTAAATCATTTATCACCCCCCCCCCCTTTCAAAAAAATAAATAAATAAATAAATTACAGTAATTTAAAAGGAATGGACAACTTTTTAATTATTGTGAACTTCTCAATTATTACAAGATCCACATAACTGATAGAATTTGCAATAGTATTTGATGCAATTCCTAGTGGAATTGTTCAGTTTTTATCCAGTAATTTATCCTCTGAATCAAATCTTTTACATACTAATCAGTTAAGTATTAATGGTGTGAAAATTAAAGACAATAAATTTATTAACTGTTACATTAAAATAAAGCACATTGTTGCCTAAATGCAAATCTTTTTGGAATTCCTTATTTGAGCAGATTGAGTGGAAAAAAGTTTGGAACTCACCTAGTAAATTCTGCCTAACCAATAAAGTTAAAGAAGTGACATATAACCAGGCTCACAAGGAATCTGCGTGCGCAGAATTCTGCAGATTTTTAGCCCATCATTAATTCTGTTTATTTACTTGAGTAAACGTGAGTAAATCTATATTTATGCAGTTTTTGAATTAAGTACAGTAATATTATTGACTTATATGAAAATGTTCATCTGATTTATGTACAATGCAGTTTGTAAAGTAATATATTCTGTCTTTTAGTAGAGATATTATATGAGAGATTTGCTTTGTTTACCAAATAAAGTGGATCTAATTGGATTTGCATTTTAAACATTAAATAAAAGTTAAAAAGATATAATTTTTTATTTCACATATTAAGGTTTTAGCTATGATACTCCCAAAATAATTCCAGAGAAATGCACAGATTTTTACCAAAATTCTCCGCAGAAATAGCAAAATTCATCTGGCCCTGCATATGACCAAATTCATTTAATTTATCCGGTGAAACAAGTTGTTCAAACATTTTTTAGAGACATGGAATCTATGTGCACTTTTTGTGAATTAGAGAAGGAATCGATTAAACACCTGTTTTTTTAATGCACATATACCCAAATGTTTTGGTTTGATGTTGAATATCTTATAATTAAACTTACAAAATAAAAAAATCAGTTTTCTTTAAGATTTTTTTGGATATACAATTATAACAACAAAACTTGGAGCAAAATTTGTTTATTAATTTAATGATAATATATGGGAAGTACCATATACACAAACAAAATTGGTCAAATGATAAGCCTAATATATTTATTGGTTTAAAATTGATCTTAAGCATTATATCGAAACCCTAAAAGACACTAAAAATAAAAAAGCTATAAGGATGTATGCAATTTTGGAATCCTTTTCTTATGCAACATTTTTTGTAATTTATATATCCCCTGCAATTTTACCAAATCTTTTAGTTTTTTTTTTATATTTATCTCTACTGATTTGTTCCTTTGATGTAGAAAAAAATTTTAAGCATTGTATTCCTCATTTTTTTGTATGCTATTGTTCTTGTTATGCAATAAAAAATAAAAAGGTGATGTTTTTTCTTACAGTTCTACATTCTATACATGATTAAATCAAAATACATTTACCTGAGAAACAAAATGACACAAATATGACAGCAAATATGTGTTATAAAGAGACTTAATGCTTAAAGCAGGAGAAAATTTCTGCAAGAGTACTATTCATAACAGACTAAACCTATAAATAACTTCATAAATAAACCTTTTTTCAATGACATGCAAAGATGAATTGTTCACCACAAAACTAGCAATGTGAGCTAACCAAATCAATATGGTTAGTTTTGATTTCCTTTGTACTTTAAGTCTTTTTCACAAGAGTTGAATGAATGCATAAAATATAAAAAAATAAGTATGATTATTGGCTTCAAGAGAGGTTTACCTGTGTCTGTGTTGTCTGAGTCTCTGTGTCTCTCTCCGTCCTCTCCTAAACACACACACACACACATGCATACACACGCACAGACAAACCCACACACTAATATGAGCTTCACACAGCTACACCCAGCAGTTTACTGTGTTTTTCAAAGTTCTTTACCGTGCTAAGATGTGTGTCCCTCTGCTGGCGTCTCCTGTGGGCGCGGGGCGATGGGTATGAGGGCACCGACGGGAGCATGGAGATGGAGATGGTGACCCGCCGCTCTCTCTCGCTCTCCTGCTGCCTCTGCTGCTGATCTGAAGAGCAGAAGAAAACACAAATCACACACTCATTTTTAGCATTGTAACGCTCATATATTCATCTATTGTAAATCTCTGTTCATAGCTAATACAACCTGTATATAATGTTGATAGTACATCCATCTGTAAATATCACCATAGTTTTTCTATAACTGCACTTTATAACTTATACCTTGAAGTATTAAGTATATACTTAGAAGATTGAAGACTGAGTAATTTAAATAACATCAAAATAAATAATAACTAAATAAAAGTAAAAAGGGTGCATCAGGACCCCATGGCTGGGGTTGGCTAGCTAGAGCCCCCAATTTGCTTAATCCGCCCCTGATTCTACAATAATTATAATCACAGTATATCATAATAGCATATAAAAGTACTATGCTAAAAAGGTAGTATGTATAAAGTTTACTATCATGGTCTTTTAACTCTAACAGCATTATTGTAGAGTGTCACTTCCATATTCCACCACTAGAGGTCACCGTCCACCGCCACTGATCTTAAATGAAGCAAATAACTTTCCTCAGACTCCCTCCGATAATCACAAAGTGTTTAAGGGAAAATATATCGAATGATAATCGAACAATATTGATTAATAAGTTTCTCTTACCCCTGTACATGGCCCTCAGGCTCTGTTTGGCGTGTCGGTGCAGCTCCTCCACACACGCGGGCCTCGTGGACGGCAGAAACACGTTCCTCTGCAGGTGCCATGGAGCCTGGTAATGTCCACTCAATTTACTCTCGATGTCCAGATTCGACAAGGCTGCACACACAAATATAAATATTGAAATTAGTCAATATTCGCACATGAACAACACGATAATGATGGGGTGATGATCAACTGACTTAATCGTCCATCCTTTTTAGTTTATTAGCTTTAGCAAAACAGCCTGACTAGCAAAACAATAGACATAAAAATACCATGGTAATGTATTGTAAAAATAGTGCTTCTTAAGCTTAGTGGGTTTGTGCTTTATTGGACATCCTCTTGCCTTTAAATGAGCTTCAGCAAGATAACCTGACTAAACAATCGAAACAATAGTCTGATAAGAGACGCTTTAAAGAGTCATTCAAAGCTTAAATACATTCTCCAAAAACTAAACCAGCTCTATCAGCTCTTCAAATGCAGTCAGAGAGGGATGTGTGAAGCACAAATAAGCTCAACAACTGAACAAACAGACTAACAGCAGCAAAACAAAGCCTGGATCTGTTAGCAGCTAATGTGCCAGACAAAAGCCCTTAATGGAGACCAACACTTCATTCATTAACCCAAAGCACACCACAGATATTCACTGATAGCTGGCTTTCAGATGCAGAAGGAAAACATTTAGTTTTAGATCATAAAAATAGTAAATAAAACGTTTTCGGGAGGTTCTTATGAAATGCTTTTTGTTAATGTACTTGTATTATTTATTGTGATTTATCATGAAATAAATTCTTGGTAAAAAAATAGTAGCATTATTATTATTATTATTATTATTATTATTATTATTATTATTATTATTATTATTATTATCAATATAATTATTATTAATTATTATTTAATTTTACATATTAGTATTATTATTTTAAGTAACTATTATTAGTTTAAAATATTATTTATTTATAACAATAATTATTATTATTGTCAGTAATAATAAAAAAATATAAATCAATAATATAATAAATTAATAATTAATTTTATAATAATATAGAATAATATTACAAATTATTATTATTATTATTATTATTATTATTATATTAAGTAACTATTACTTATTTAAAATATGATTTATTATTATATTATTATTAATAATAAAAATAATAGATGATTATTATTGTTGTTATTATTAAATTATAAAACTAGTATAATTATTATTGTTATTATTATTATAACAAGTAACTATTGTTAGTTTAAAATATTATTTATTCTTATTAATATGATTTTTTATTATATTAAGTAACTATTATTAGTTTAAACATAATTTATATTTTGTGATTAACGTTTTGTCTTTAGAATAACAAAATAAAACACATTCAAACAAACAAACAAACAAAGCAGGGGTATCCAGCATATGTTTTACACAGCGGACGCCCTTCCAGCTGCAACCCTGTTCTGGGAAACACCCATACACATTCACACACACACACTCATACACTATGGCCAAATTAGTTTATCCAATTAACCTATAGCACATGTGTTTGGACTGTGGGAGACCTAGTGACCTTCTTGCTGTGTGGCCACAGTGCTTATCACCATGCTGCCTCCCATATACATACATGTATAAAAAGTGAATCCACTCCTGCCCTATGAATAGAAACTGTGTGTATGTGTGTTTATTGTGTATATGTCTTTGATGCTGCGGGCAGTTTTGAGTCTAATGCGAGTGTAAGAAACGCTCCTGTCATCAGCACACACCAGCATTAATGCACAGTAAATCTGGGTCACACACTCAACACAGCACAACTAACAAAAACATGCACATCATGCACATTATACAGCAGGGTGTCAGGGCTGTTCACACAAAAGAACACGGTTTTTCCTTTCCATATTTGAAAAAGATCTTAAATTTGACTTTTTTTAGGAGGGTATATAGAATATTACAACTATATACACTCATCAGCCACTTTATTAGGTACACTTTACTAGTACCAGGTTGCACCCTGTTTTGCCTTCCTTGATCCTTCACGGCAGAGATTGAACAAGGTACTGGAAATATTTCTCAGGGATTTTGTTCCATATTGACATGATAGCATCACACAGTTGCTGCAGTTTTGTCGGCTGCACATCCATGATGTTAATCTTTCCTTCCGCCACATTCCAAAGGTGCTCTATTGGATTGAGTACTGGTTACTGTGGAGGCCATTTGAGTACAGTGAACTCATTGTCATGTTCAAGAAACCAGTCTGAGATGATTCACGCTTTTTGACATGGAGCGTTATCCTGCTGGAAGTAGACATCAGAAGATGAGTACACTGTGGTCATAAAGGGATGATCATGGTCAGAAACAATACTCAGTTAGGCTGTGGCGTTGACATGATGCTCAACTGGTACTAAAGGGCCCAAAGTGTGCCAAGAAAATATCGCCAACACCATTACACCACCACCACCAGCCTGAACCATTGATACAAGGCAAGATGCCGCTAATTGGATATTTTCTGTTTTTCGGACCATTCTCTGTAAACCCTAGTGATGGTTGTGCGTGAAAATCCCAGTAGATCAGCAGTTTCAAAAATACTCAGACCAGCCCGTCTGGCACCAACAACCATGCCACGTTCAAAGTCACTTAAACCAGCTTTCTTCCCTATTCTGATGCTCGGTTTGATCTGCAGCAGATCGTCTTGACCGTGTCTACATGCCCAAATGCATTGAGTTGCTGCCGTGTGATTGGCTGATTAGAAATGTGTGTTAACAAGCAGTTGGACAGGTGTACCTAATAAAGTGGCCAGTGAGTGTGCATAACTGTGTGTAAATACCAAGCGGCAACCTCCAGCTCTCCCTCAGAAAGCCAATACGGAAGTAACTAAAGCTGCAATTCATCAATATTCCGCTAGTCTTAGCCGCTCCTGGCTCCAAAATAGAGCAAATTTCAATTGAGCCCACATGCCAACTTGAATGGCCAACTTTACAGCAGAAAAAAAGGTGTTTACAGCCTGGTACAAAAAAAGATTTTGGTTAATACAGCTAATATTACCCTTCATGACAACTGTGAGGGGGGTGAAATTTTTTATAACTCATCCGTTTCCTTTATATTAAGTTATATTAAGTTTGCATAATTAAGGGCGTGGCCACTTGAGTGACAGCTAGGTCTCGTTGGTCGCCGTCACGTCACCTCAGCCGAATCCAGCAGATTAGCCACTGAACTCGGCATATTTATCGTATTTCTGTGTTGTTTTATGTGGCTTTACACAGTCAACTGCCTTTTGGACTTGTTTCCCACAATTATTAGATGGCATGGCATGCTGAGGGCACTTAATTGTGCTCACAAACCATTCACGTGGCCTCCGTTTCCCATGTGAGTAAAGTTATATACTTATATACTATCTCTATACATGTATTTGTTTTATTTAAGATCATTTATCGTCTATATTTATATTTAGAGCTGTAATGCCCTCCAGAATCTGTCAGATTGATTAGCTGTGGGCTCTAGAACAGTCATCTGAAGCGTTGTCATACAGTGTTATGCTGTATTTCATCAATAGTCTTACATTAACTAACACAGACTATATCTGAAGTGTTTGAAAGTAATTCGCGTTTTCCTCCTGTTGAAAAACGTCATAAGAACAATGTTTAGTGGCTCAATGTGTTACAGCAGTGTTTTTAAAAGGCTTAACACTTTATTGATATAGTAAACAACCAAGCACAAGTGGTCAGAATACAAATGGGTCACAGGTGATGAAGTATTAAGCGTTCTCCCAAAGTAAAGTGTGTCTGAGCGTGGGTGTGATGACGCGCGAAAAAAATGGCGACGGTTGGCCGCGCCTACTTGTGGCTTCTTTTGCGCTCTTTAGAAACCTATGGGTGACGTCACGGATACTACGTCCATATATTTTACAGTCTATGGTAAATACAAAGCTTTATAAAACTTACATTTTGGATGTGAGTTTGATAGCTCTTAAATCCTTGTAACAACTCTCCCGAACCCTTTTCCAGATCTTTCTGAATGAAATGCCTACTTTACTACATTCAATCAGCTTGCAGTAGTAAAAAAACATGCCACGCCCACTTTTTTTCTCATTTAATTAAATATTCTATATCTCTAGGAACTGCGTCACAATAGACAAAAAAAAAATAATTATATATATATATATATATATATATATATATATATATATATATATATATATATATATATATA